TTAATCCATTTGTACACCAACAATTTACCCATTCCCTCCAGGAGCGGCTCAAGGGCCAGCAAAAGCAGTGTATTTCCCATCCGGCATCCTCGGCCTAGCCGAGGAAGGAGGGGAATGGATGGGCGCTCGGGTCTGGCTGGGCACAAGGCACTGCCTGACCCCAAAAGCCAGCCTGACCCATGTGGCACGACCTCTTTGTGGTCACCAGAAGTTTCCACCGAGGTTATTGTTAACCATCAAAGCCATACAGCAGTGAAGCTTCTCAGCCTGTTGCCACTGATAAATGGCTCCCAAGTATTGGGCAGGCCACAGGCTGTACCAAACTGAAGGTGAGAAGAGAAGGAAAGGAGCGTGATCCCAAGAGGCTGCCAAAACACCCCACCCATAGACTGAGAGAGCAGCCAGACCGAAGATGCAGTGTGGACAGAGCTAGAGAAGAGACTGGAGCAATGCAGCAAGGCTAAATGCGGCCCTTTTCCCCCCAAAGCCCAGACCGCACTGCTCGCTGGAGTTTCGCCAAAAAAAGCAAAGCTGCAGCCCTCAGGCAGCCCTCTCCCTGGAGCCACGGGTCCCTCATCAGTGGCCGCCATGGGGACCTGCACCCCGCGGCTGTGCCTTACTGCACACATGGTGTTTGGGAGCTGCACGATCCCTGTGAGCAATCTGGGCGCTGTGCCGGTGCTGTTCTCTGCGGCACGAACAAAGATGAAGAGCAACTATTGCTCAGAGAGCCCACGTTGTGTTTTCCCCCCACCAGGCTAAGGAAAGCATGCAGGAGTCTATCTAGGGAGGGAAGAGGGTTTCCCCCCGCCGTGCGGGAACCCAAGGGGTCACCGATGCAAAGGAGGGGCCTTACAGCACCGTGCCTGTCGCCCTGCGCCGCAGCAGCACCCCGAAGGGGTCCCGGGAGAACTCCACGCTGTAGATGGGATTTTCTGCTCTCTTCATCGCCTGGGGAACCTCGAGGGGAACCTCATACCGAGGGTTGGCAGCATCGGTTATCTACAAAAGGGAGAGAAAACATGCTTTGCAGACCAGAAAAGCAGGAGGGCAGAGGATTGAAGGCAGCAGCCAGGCCACATACGGCCATGCCAGGAGCAAAGCTGCTGCCAGCCCCGGCCTGAGCAGGGGCCGGTCACCAGCAACATGGGACAGGAGCACAAGGAGCCCAGCCAGGGGAGGGTGACAGCGGGCCGAGGGCAGCTCACCTTCAGGTGCAGTCGCGTGTCCGTCTCGAACTCCACATCCAGCCGCAGCATCTCGATGTCCCGTGGGTAATAGGTCTTCTCCCTCCGCAGCAGCAGGCCCACCATGCCCAGCGCGGTCTGGTTGAGGCTCTGCAGCGTGTAGCTGGGGAAGTCGCGGGGGTAGAAGCACCAGGGCACCCCTCGCTTGCCGCCCGCCGGCGGGGGGGTCTCGATGAAGCAGCACCCCCGGCTCTCGCAGAGCTCCTGGGTCACCACCACGCGCCTCTCCGGGTAGCAATCAAAGCGCTGGCTCTCGGGCACCAGGAGGCATTTGG